ATTATAAGGTTGGCGTTCGATTCCTCATTGGCCAAGTGATTTGGCGCCATTCCTTCCCTCCGTCCTCTCCCACACTCTTTCCCATATATCTCTTCCTTGTGCTATATAGGCATTCTGGCTTAGCACTTTCTCCATATAATTACCTCCCTTGCAGGATTGCAATAATCATTCTCATGCAACACAATAATAATGATAAGATTAGGCTGTTATATAATGGGGAAAATTTTATGTACTCTTAGGATAGCATTACGTTTAGGGGTATAGAGGGTGGGGAGGGGATACATCAAAATACAATATAGAATCACCTACTATATTATTGCAGTACACACTAACTTTTGCCTCTACCTTCCAATAGAAAGTGGGTAGTCGTGGACCCCCATACCCATCCTGTGGGTGGTCGTGGACCCCATACCCATCCTGTGGGTGGTCGTGGACCCCCATACCCATCCTGTGGGTGGTCGTGGACCCCCATACCCATCCTGTGGGTAGTCGTGGACCCCCATACCCATCCTGTGGGTGGTCGTGGACCCCCATACCCATCCTGTGGGTGGTCGTGGACCCCCATACCCATCCTGTGGGTGGTCGTGGACCCCATACCCATCCTGTGGGTGGTCGTGGACCCCATACCCATCCTGTGGGTGGTCGTGGACCCCATACCCATCCTGTGGGTGGTCGTGGACCCCATACCCATCCTGTGGGTGATCGTGGACCCCATACCCATCCTGTGGGTGGTCGTGGACCCCATACCCATCCTGTGGGTGGTCGTGGACCCCATACCCATCCTGTGGGTGGTCGTGGACCCCATACCCATCCTGTGGGTGGTCGTGGACCCCCATACCCATCCTGTGGGTGGTCGTGGACCCCATACCCATCCTGTGGGTGGTCGTGGACCCCATACCCATCCTGTGGGTGGTCGTGGACCCCATACCCATCCTGTGGGTGGTCGTGGACCCCCATACCCATCCTGTGGGTGGTCGTGGACCCCATACCCATCCTGTGGGTGGTCGTGGACCCCATACCCATTCTGTGGGTGGTCGTGGACCTCCATACCCATCCTGTGGGTGGTCGTGGACCCCCATACCCATCCTGTGGGTGGTCGTGGACCCCATACCCATCCTGTGGGTGGTCGTGGACCCCCATACCCATCCTGTGGGTGGTCGTGGACCCCATACCCATCCTGTGGGTGGTCGTGGACCCCCATACCCATCCTGTGGGTGGTCGTGGACCCCCCATACCCATCCTATGAAGGGTAGTGGATAAAGTTAGTGAGTCGCATAAAACACTCAGGAGCCCCAAATTGCTAAGCTCGTCCGACAGTTTATGTATATATCAATAGTCTTGTTATAAACACAAGGGAGTTCAATAAGTGGGGGTTTGAAGTAAAGATATTGGTCTGCTTGTCTCAGGTTCACCGTACTACGGCGCCGCGCTGTTCCCTGGGGCAGGCGACCGGCCCACCTCTACCGTGGGTGTCCACGCTGGCATGAGTCTGGCCCTCGCCTCGTTGATGCCACCAGCGCTGCCTCTACTGCCTCACGCTGCTGCTGCCGCCGCTGCCGCCGCTGCCCTCATGCCCTACCATCACCACCATCACCACCTGCAGCAGCAGCAGCAGGAGCAGCAGCACAGCGTGGCCGGACCCAGCACGCAACACAACCATTTCCCCTTCGCTGCGCACCGCAGCAGCAGCAACAACCACAACCTCTACTGTCCACCAGCTCGTCCTCGAGCGCCCAGGACCTCGACCTTCACCGTCGAGGAGCTGCTCAAGGATCAGCGCGCGACGTCTCCCCAGCGTGAGATGGACACTAACTTTCCGGTCATTGTTTCCAGTCTGTATGGTACTCTAGCCCCACCGCCCTCACCCACCGCTGACACCCACCAGTGTCAGCACCCCTCCTCCACCACGCCCCCACACCACGCCCTCACCCACGCCCTCACCCACGCCACCTCCACCTCGCCTCCACCACCACACCAACGCCGCCTCCACCACTCCACCACCACGCCCCAGAAGCTCCGACAACAATTACTCGACTGCTCCATTGGCCGCGAGGAATTGGTTGGGGGAGAAAAGCACCCCCAGCTATCGTCACCCCTTAGCTCCTCCCCTGTGTCTTGCTCCTCCCCTGTGTCCTGCCCCTCCCCTGTGTCCTGCCCCTCCCCAGTGTCCTGCTCTTCCCCTGTGTCCTGCTCCTCCCCCATGTCTTTCCTGCCCTCCCCCGGCAGCAGAGTGGCCTCGCCCCCTCTCCATCACCGCTTCCATGACACTTTCCACTCCATTTGTGCCACCACGACCCACTCTCGGCCCTCCCTGGCGTCGCTGGCCGCCCACCCGCCCACCACCACCCACCACCAGGCAACGCGGCCCTCCACCACCACCCACGACCAGGCAACGCGGCCCTCCACCACCAACCACGACCAGGCAACGCGGCCCACGACCACCACCCACGACCAGGCAACGCGGTCCTCCACCACCACCACCCACGACCAGGCAACGCGGTCCTCTACCACCACCACCCACGACCAGGCAACGCGGTCCTCTACCACCACCCACGACCAGGCAACGCGGCCCAACACTATCACCCACGACCAGGCAACGCGGCCCACCACCACCCACGACCAGGCAACGCGGCCCACCACCACCCACGACCAGGCAACGCGGCCCAACACTATCACCCACGACCAGGCAACGCGGCCCACCACCACCCACGACCAGGCAACGCGGCCCACCACCACCCACGACCAGGCAACGCGGCCCACCACCACCCACGACCAGCCAACGCAGCCCACCACGCACCACCACCACCCACGACCAGGCAACGCGGCCCACCACCACCAACCACGACCAGGCAACGCGACCAACGACCAGGCAACGCGGCCCACCACCACCACCCACGACCAGCCAACGCGGCCCACCACCACCACCCACGACCAGCCAACGCGACCCACCACCACCACCACCCACGACCAGCCCCCACGACTCTCTCCAGCGCCCCACAAACCCCCGCCAGGCTGTGGGCGCTGCTCCCCACCTCCCTCCCCCACACCTACACTCCCACACATCCACATCCCACACACTTTCCGGCCCCTCACGGCTTCCCATTCCAGATTTCCTTTCCACACCTACAGCACCACCACCCCGCCCCCTCCGCTCCTGACCCCTTCCCACACCTACGACCCCTTCTCCCCCCTGACCTCCAGGGGGTCAGCCATGACCAGAGTCAAGAGAATCTCCGACACCAAAGTTAGAATAGTTACCCCTGATCAGTGAATTTTAATTTACGGCAAGGGGTAACTCCTGTAAATTGTCCACTCGCCACAAAATTACATTTTATTCTGATAGTGAGGCCTAAATGGAACTCCCGAAGCATCATGGTGATAATGACTGTCCCCCCGGGTGCCCTGGGCATGCCCTACCACACTCTCCACTCACCTGGGTATATTGCCCTCATGCCCACTGGTGAAAAAATGTTGAGTTTCTTCGCATATTTCTGCGTGATTTGTGTTGGTCATTGGCTCGTCTCCCGCTTGCATGCTGAAATGTGTGTTGGGTCAATATGGTGTCCTCGACTTACAGTGTGGGAGTGTATGGTGACCCTCCACACAGTGTAGGAGTGTATGGTGCGCCTCCACACAGTGTAGGAGTGTATGGTGCGCCTCCACACAGTGTAGGAGTGTATGGTGACCCTCCACACACTGTGGGAGTGTATGGTGACCCTCCACACAGTGTGGGAGTGTATGGTGCGCCTCCACACAGTGTGGGAGTGTATGGTGACCCTCCACACAGTGTGGGAGTGTATGGTGCGCCTCCACACAGTGTAGGAGTGTATGGTGACCCTCCACACAGTGTGTGGGAGTGTATGGTGACCCTCCACACAGTGTGGGAGTGTATGGTGCGCCTCCACACAGTGTGGGAGTGTATGGTGCGACCCTCCACACAGTGTGGGAGTGTATGGTGCGCCTCCACACAGTGTGGGAGTGAATGGTGTCCTCTACTTACAGTGTGGGAGTGTATGGTGACCCTCCACACAGTGTAGGAGTGTATGGTGCGCCTCCACACAGTGTAGGAGTGTATGGTGACCCTCCACACAGTGTCGGAGTGTATGGTGACCCTCCACACACTGTGGGAGTGTATGGTGCCCCTCCACACAGTGTAGGAGTGTATGGTGCCCCTCCACACAGTGTGGGAGTGTATGGTGACCCTCCACACAGTGTAGGAGTGTATGGTGACCCTCCACACAGTGTGGGAGTGTATGGTGACCCTCCACACAGTGTAGGAGTGTATGGTGCGCCTCCACACAGTGTGGGAGTGTATGGTGACCCTCCACACAGTGTAGGAGTGTATGGTGACCCTCCACACAGTGTGGGAGTGTATGGTGACCCTCCACACAGTGTGGGAGTGTATGGTGACCCTCCACACAGTGTGGGAGTGTATGGTGTCCCTCCACACAGTGTGGGAGTGTATGGTGTCCCTCCACACAGTGTGGGAGTGTATGGTGACCCTCCACACAGTGTAGGAGTGTATGGTGACCCTCCACACAGTGTGGGAGTGTATGGTGACCCTCCACACAGTGTGGGAGTGTATGGTGACCCTCCACACAGTGTGGGAGTGTATGGTGACCCTCCACACAGTGTGGGAGTGTATGGTGACCCTCCACACAGTGTGGGAGTGTATGGTGCCCCTCCACACAGTGTAGGAGTGTATGGTGACCCTCCACACAGTGTGGGAGTGTATGGTGACCCTCCACACAGTGTGGGAGTGTATGGTGACCCTCCACACAGTGTGGGAGTGTATGGTGACCCTCCACACAGTGTAGGAGTGTATGGAGTAGCATCACATAACACAAGAGACCAGAGCACAACAGCCACAAATACGGGAAACTCTTCCTTTGAGCGTAAACTCGTGTAAATATATCCAATGAACCGAAGTTTACCCGTCAACTGCCATTATTTAGTGTTTTATTGAATGTTTGATGATTATAAATGTGTTGTGTTCCTAGAGTTCGATACGCGGCCTTCTGAGGCATGATCTTATAAATGTTGACTACATGTACATCTTTGTTGAATATAATTGAGAACTAATTAATAATTATAGGCCTACTGTATTGTTAGCCCTCACCTGTAGGTACTCAAGAGGCCTATATAGACTGTACTGAAACTTTCTAGTCAAGTGTGTTAGTCATTAATAAAGGCATTACGAACGACAGTGCTTTAAGTAACAAAATCCTGTGATATTGGTAATTGGTGAGAGGAAGATAAGCCTATCAGCTCAAAATTAGTTTCAAAAATATATATATGTACTTCCTTCTAGTATGGAAATGGAATTCATTTATACTAATTTAGTACATAAATTTTTTCGAGAGCAAAGGCTAGGAAATTTGAGTTACCCCTTTTAATGCCTCATAGACAAAGAAAACTAAATAAATGAATGGTAAACTTATTTAAAAATTTGGTTGATATTCTCTTAATTTAATAACAATAATAATTCATTGTGTCGGGGGACAGGAAGCCAGGTTTTATATACAGTACACTTTAGGCCTATACCTAGGTCACTTCACTCCCCCCCCCCCGGGTCAACCCCACAACAAGCTAACTCCTGGGTACCTATTTACTGCAAGGTGAATAGGCGCATGAGGTGAAAGGAAACGCGCCCAACCATTTCTGTGCCGCCTGGGATTCGAACCCGGAATTCTAGATTGTGTGTCGAGAACGAACCCGACTGTACTACCGGGACCCTGAATTACTTGGGGAACTTTTTTTAAAGTCGTTATGCGGTAGTTTATACATACATACATACATACATACATACATACATACATACATACATACATACATACATACATACATACATACATACATACATACATACATACATACATACATACATACATACATACATACACAGACTCCCTGTCCCCGACAAAACTAGTTATATATATATTGCGATATTTGTTAAATAATATTAATTTTTAATTAGTCTACCAATATAATTGAAGAGCGGCTACGTTTTCTATAGATCAAGTTTGTATTATCGTTTTCTTTCAGTGTCTTTTTATTCAATGTTCAGAATTTTACTTCTCATCTATAGTTAGAGGAAGTAATTTATCTGAATATACCTGAGGGCCACCAACTTTAGCGGCCTCAACGGGGACAGGAAGCCGATGGCTCGTCACGTCATTGTTAGTCTCTCACTGATGCTAAATTGATGAATTGAGTAAAGATTACTAATACAGAATATACGTTAATCTATTTCACGACTTCTGCATTGTTAAATCTCAGTGAATGATCTAATTTGATTTGTAACTGGCATTGTGTTAGATAATAACTTATTATTAAAATCTTTAATGACAATTTAGCTTAATCGAAATAATTTAATATGAGCTTTAAGTCTGGGATGCTCCCGAACGTAAGTTCGAATCCTCGTCACGGCCCTTGTGGATTTGTTCAATAAAACCTTATTGCAGTGGTACTTCCATTCACTACCACACAATATTATACACCACACAATATGTCTAAACTAATTTTAAACACAAATATATTTTGTGAAGTTACAATTTACTGAATCAGAGATACATGTTTTAATTTATAAACTTGAAACTCTGTAACTAGCACAGTCAATTATGTAACTTGTTCAGTTAAAGGAATATCTGGGATCCTGATACCATTATGTGTATTTGTAAGTTCTTAATCCACTAATTCTCACAGGATGGATATAGGTTTATACGGCTGGATTAATCCATCCAGCTAGATCATTGGGTTTAGCGGCTGGATTAATCCATCCAGCTAGATCATTGGGTTTAGCGGCTGGATTAATCCATCCAGCTAGATCATTGGGTTTAGCGGCTGGATTAATCCATCCAGCTAGATCATTGGGTTTAGCGGCTGGATTAATCCATCCAGCTAGATCATTGGGTTTAGCGGCTGGATTAATCCATCCAGCTAGATCATGGGGTTTGGCGGCTGGATTAATCCATCCAGCTAGATCATTGGGTTTAGCGGCTGGATTAATCCATCCAGCTAGATCATTGGGTTTAGCGGCTGGATTAATCCATCCAGCTAGATCATGGGGTTTGGCGGCTGGATTAATCCATCCAGCTAGATCATTGGGTTTAGCGGCTGGATTAATCCATCCAGCTAGATCATTGGGTTTAGCGGCTGGATTAATCCATCCAGCTAGATCATGGGGTTTGGCGGCTGGATTAATCCATCCAGCTAGATCATTGGGTTTAGCGGCTGGATTAATCCATCCAGCTAGATCATGGGGTTTGGCGGCTGGATGAATGAGGCTTGCCCTTTGTTTGTGAGGCCGGGCTGTGTATTTACTGTGCTACAATTCGAACAGAGGAAGGCAACAAAGCACTGTTAGAGAAATATTAGATCATTATTAATTGTGAGTCGTATCTAAAGCGTCATTTATTCATAATGAGGGGGTTTGGTGGCTGGATGGAGTGGACATTTAGTCTTTGTTCATGAGGCTGTTGAAATTATGACATCAATAATACGGTAGCCCGTCTTCGTCAACAAAAGGCCAATGTCCATTCCATGCACCCGCCAAACCCCCAGCTGTTTATGAATAAAAAACGGTTTACTCACGACTCATAACTAATGACGTTCGAACACTTCCGGAACAAGTGCTTCACTGACGACTTTTGTTCGAACCACAACGCTGTAAATGCTTCACCCACGCACTACAAATACAAATAATCGCCAACAGAACCTAAACACCTAACTTAACCTATGCCTATATATGCACAATATGCTAATATATTATAACATTAATTTATATTTAAGAAAAATCCTGTTTTGAATCAACAGCATGTAAAAATTTATGCGTCTGTGCGGTCGACCGCTGGATGGAATCGGATTGAGCGGTTTATAGTTAGGCAAAAAGTCTAAGTTAGTCTAATAATTAGTCTAAGTCTAATAGCCAAGTTAGATATTTTTCGAATAGCAAGAACAAGCTGACGGGAAAGTGAGTGAAGGATAACTATCAAGTGGTAAGCGCCAAGCCATTACGAAGAGAGTGAAGGAGAACATGTTAACGCTAATGCCATATAGCCAGGACACGTGGTGCTCTCTGGCGGCCACAGCAGGAAACACGACGCCGCAAGGTAAACAAAACACAGCTGATGGCCACGTGGGCCGCACAGCTGATTGGTTAGGTAAGTTTGTCTTGTTCGGGTATGTTGAATTGTGTAATCCCAGGAGGGAATGTTGTTGTTTAAGATTCATTATTTGGAACAAAAAGTTCCAAGTAGCACGGGCTATGGTGAGCCCGCAGTGGGCTTTTTAGTTATGACTACAGTAAGGATGTTAAATGCTGTGAATAGCTGTGTGTACTCAGTCATTAGCCAAGGGGGGGATCTTGGGGACGTGAATAAGCCTATAAAAGGCTTCCTGCCAATGAGTCAACACAATGGCTCCAAAGGGCCACCACTTACGGGCTATTCATGCCCGTGCCACCTTTTGGGTGGCATCAATCAATCAATCGAGTCAACACTCACACAACAGTTGTCAAGCTCCCGGCCGGGTACCTATTTACCGCGGGGTGAATAGTGGTATTAGGGTGAAAGGAAATCGTGTCCCACCTTTCTGTCCCCCGCCCAACGGGATTAAAACGCGAGATTCTCGATTGCGAGTCCAGAACGAGTCCATCTGTGCTACCGAGACCCTATACGGATTAATTTTGTTTGTACAGTATTTTTTTTTTACGTGATTTTTACCAGATTTGTTTTTACCATTGATGAACAAAAAGTTTATAAACTAAATAAAAAACTGTCCATTTAAAAAAATTATTTAACAACTTTATTTATTTATTTATTAAAAAAATCCCCATTGAAGTAAATCTCGAAATTTGTTCAATAATAATTAACAAATTCGCAATATTTATAACAATAAATAGCAAGAAGTTGTTAATAATTAATTAACGAATTCTCATTAATTTCAATTTGTTATTGTCTAAGGCAAATGACCGGAAGCCTAATTCAAAATACGATGATAAATATATATATTACACGAATCAATATTTACAAAATACTGCGTAATCGACTCTTTCTTTTCGTGAGTCATTTACAGATGATACTGGACTGTGTGACGCAGGATTTATGGATTTTACGGATTTATTTACGCAATTAATTAATTAATTTATTATTATTTCGAGGGGCGGGCCGGCGTCGTTGTCGTACCGCAAATCACCAGACCCGGCCCAACCTCGTTGTCGGGCGTACGACCGCCCGCGGGGGGGGGGGCTCAGGTGCTCTAGCGCGCTCTCTCTCTAGTGTGGTGGAGCTCTCAGGGTGCTCAGCTGTGCTCCAGTGTGACGAGGATACAATGGTAGAGCTCCCAATGTCGTGGGAGCTCTACCACGCTCTCTAGCGTGACGAGGCTCTTGTGGGAGCTCTACCGTGCTCTCTAGTGTGATGAGGTTCTTGTGGGAGCTCTACGGCGCCCTCTAGTGTAGTGGGAGTGATGCTGGATTGTGTGTGTGTAGTTGACCTACTTATCTGTCCCAGTGTAGCCAGCGCGGTGGGCCTCGCCTCTCTCTCTCTCTCTCTCTCTCTCTCTCTCTCTCTCTCTCTCTCTCTCTCTCTCTCTCTCTCTCTCTCTCTCTCTCTCTCTCTCTCTCTCTCTCTCTCTCTCTCTCTCTCTCTCTCTCTCTCTCTCTCTCTCTCTCTCTGTCTGTCTGTCTGTCTGTCTCTCTCTCTCTCTCTCCCCTCCCCCCCCCACCTAGACGCAGCTAACACTGAACTATATCTTCGTAAATCATTGTCCGATCAACTCCTAGCTCGGCCTTAGCACCACAATTCCCGCCCGTAACGGCTGAACCATCATCACTCTCCTTGAGGGTTAATTACTCTCATCCTAACGAGTTTGATTATTATAACAATTTGCAAGTTAATTGGCCATAGTAGCTCTCTGGTGCAAATTCTTAAATTATCCTCCAATGATGACGGAAATAATTTTGAACCTTGTACAATACTAAGATGCAAATACTAACATGAATTTTGTTGTTTAAAAATATTTATATTTGATGAAAATACATATATAAAAAAATATGATTTGAATTTAGGCTATTAAAGTTTTAAACACAATTTTAATAATTAATACTTATTAATTATTAACTTAACTATTAACTCCATTAACTTATTCGTTTAATTATTAGCTTAATTATTAACTAATAACTAAATTAATTAAAATTATTAATTAATAACTTAATTATTAACTTAAACCATTAGCTCCATTAACTTATTCGTTTTTATTAACATAAAGTCTCTCTAGACAAAAAAAATATGACGTGTCATATCAGTTCTAGCACCTCGCTCAGTGTGGAGAGAATTGAAAAAGATTAAAAATCTCTAATGCAGTATTTACCCCACCTATTTCAGTCACATATATTGTTTTAAATTATAAATAAAGTTTCCTCCTATAACATATTTATGTAGTTAATTCCATTATCCCAATATTCTCCTATATTTTTCAAGCTGCGAGTCATGCCCTTTTGCTCTATTGGTATTCATTATGATAATTTCCTCTTTTTTTCCACTCTTGGTTTTTATAGGTATTTTATACGTCTCTATCATATCTCTCTCTCCTTTTCAAGCGGCGTTAGGTTCAACTCTCTCGTCATTCCTCATCCCAAATTGTGTGACAAGCCTTATTGTAAACCTCTGTTCCTCTTCCCTCATTCGTTTTATGGAAGGGGTGAGGAGGCTGTACGGCGGAGCTGCATACTCTAGGACTGGTCTGACGTCCGTGTACAGCGATTGTCTCCTTACTTAGGTTTCTGACTGATGTTCCGAGTTTTGTCAGTGTGGAAATATATGCCGCTGATGTTATCCTGTTTAGACGTGTCTCCAGAGTTAGGCTTGGTGCTAATATATATATATTAATATATATATATATATATATATTATATATATTATATATATATATATATATATA